TTTTTTTTTTTTTTCTGTTTTTTTTCCTGACTTTTTTCTATTTTTTTCCTAAATTTTTCATTTTATTCCTGATTTTTCCCTGATTTTTTCTTGACTTTTTTCCCTGATTTTTCCCATTTCTTTTCCTTTCCCCCATTTTTTCTATTTTTCCTCCTTTTCCCTGATTTTTTTCTTTCCCCTTTTTCCCCATTTTTAAAATTTTTTCCTTCTTTTCTTTCCTTTTTCCCTCTTTTTTCCCCTGATTTTTCCCTTTTTTCCCTTTTCTTTTTTCCCTTATTCTATCTTTTTTTATTCCCTCTTTTTTATTTCCCCTTTAATTTCATTTTTATTTCCCCTTCAATCCCTTTTCCATCTTTTTCCCTTTTTAATTTGAATTTCTTCCCTCAAAATTCACTTTTTTCCCAATTTTCCCCCCATTTTTCCCCAATTTTTCCTCATTTTTTCCCCATTTCCCCCCATTTTTTACAAATTCCTCATTTTTAAAAAAATTTTCCCTTTTTCCCCCTTCCCCCTCCCTCCCCTCCCCCTTTTCCCCCCAAAATCGCCGCCGCACCCGGAATTATTTTTATAATTTTTTCCCCTTTTTTCTCCCATTTTTAATTCCATTTTTTTTATTTTTCCTCCATTTTTTCCCCCAAAATCCCGGGAATTCTCCCCGTTTCCCCCTCCCCCCCGGGGTTTTTATTAATTATTAAGAGTGAATTAATTTTATTTGGGTTGGGGTCGCCGTCGGTGCCAATCCCGAGGTTTTTTCCCCCGGAATTCCCGCGCCGGGGTTTCGCCGATCGTGGAATAAAAAACGCTGCGAGTTTGGTTTTGTATAAAAAAAAACACCAAAAAAACACCAAAATCACCGAATTTTCGGGTTTTTCCGCCCCGTTTTTATCCCGAAAAAATTTCAAGGGGTGGGAGGGAATTAAAAAAAAAAGGGAGGGGGAAAAAAAATCAGAATTAAATCAGAAAAAATGGGAATTTAAGGGAATTAAAATGCCCAGAAATTGGAATTTTAAGAGGAAATCGACAGAAATTGGGGATTTAAAATCCAAATTTTGAGGGTTTCAGTGAAAATCAACAGAAGTTGGGGATTTAAAATCCAAATTTGGAAGGTTTCAGTGGAAACAGGGATTTTTAAATTCAATTTTTGAAGGTTTCAGTGGAAATGAACAGAAATTGGAGATTTAAAATCCAAATTTTGAAGGTTTAAAATCCAAATTTTGAAGGTTTCAGTGGAAATGAATGAATTGAGACTGAAAAGTTGAAGTTGTGAGGTTTTAAAATCGAAATTTCAGTGGAATTTTGGTTACGATTTTTAAAAAACGCAAAATTCGACCCGAAATGGAGAAAAATTGAAATTCTCAGAAGGGAAAAAAAAAGTGAAAAGTTTTAATGAAAAGGGGAGGAAAAAAGGTCAAAAGGTATTTTTAAAAGGGTCAAAATATTTTAAAATAAAACTTTTGTCGCTTTCGCGACAAAAAAAATTTGAAAATTAAAAAGGGAGAATTGGGGGGGAAAAAAAAATGGAGGAAAAAAAAGCCAAAAAAAAAAGAAAAAAAAAATTTAAAAGCCAAAAAAAGGCCCAAAACAATCCCAAAAAATCCAAAAAAAAACC